GATAAGTTCTGGCGAAGGTTTCAGTAAGTCTAGGAGCTTCTTTTCTAGGAACTGGAGAGACCACTGCTCTGTGGGGCTGTTCTATCCATCATCACACTCCAGATAGTTGGGGCCTGCTTCACTCTGCTTACCAGGCTGGCCTGAGCCCCAAACTAAGGCATCTTCCTTTCTTCTCTTGTCATCTCTAGTTAAAGATATGTTGCCCCCTTAAGCTCCAAGGCAATGTTAAAGTCCAGCTGACTCATACCTGGCCTAGCTGGTGGGTTTCATGAATTAAGAGGCTACAAGGAGACTGGCCTGGCAAATCTAATGATGGAGACTACTGATAGAACCTATGGCAAGTTCAAGAACAGGGCCTCTCTGCTATCTTGTTCCTGGCCAAGATAAAATTATCCTCTATACCCACCCAACTCCCACAGTCCTCAACCCCCAATTCCCCACTTCTGCACACAGACCACTGGACTGGTTACTCACTTCTCAAGCAGGGTCAGAGCTGTCACTGGGTTTACACGGAGGTACTTGCAGTTGGGCTGACCATAGTCGGCAAGGTAGGTTGACCAATCCCACTGGATAAAGAGATCCAAAAGCTGTAAAATACCCAAGTCCCCACCCCAGGGATTAATCAGACAGACAAAATCCTCAGCATCCTTCACTACCAGCTAACAGCAGATTTGAAAAATAAAAATGTAATAAGAGAGAAAATGGTTACAAACTATAATGTGACTGAGAAAATCAATGAGTAATCATTAGAACTCAGTCACCTCTGCCATTAGCCCTGTAAGGTGTTGAGACTACATGCCAGCAGCCAGCTCTCAGAGGCAGGTCTGCCCAGAAACTAACCCTGCACTGAATCAAAACTCAAGAGGATAACAACAACCACTCATGTATTCACTTAATAAATACGTATCGAAGGCCTTCCACGAGCCAAGCACCATTCTCAGAGCCCAGACTGCAGCAATGAGCAAACAAAGCTGGGTGCAATCCAGTGCCACATATGTAGTCATACGAGCTGAGAGGTGAAAAGGTCTCGGTTCAAGTACTGCTTCATGATTTGCTGCACTGGCTTTGCCCAAGTCACTCAGTGGACAGAGACACATACACATGCCTATAAACAGGTAGGACACAGAGACCACACAGAAACACTGCACAAATGGGTCATGTGGCACTGACATGAGGCAACGTGTATTACACCTGCGTGGGCACTGGCTGAGCAGATGGAACCAGGGCCCTGGCAGCTCAGGACTGAAAAGCAGTCCACGGTTGAGAATGCAGACACTGGAAGTGGGGTTATGAGTGTTAGAGAGGAGTGCCAAGAGCTAGGTGTGTATTGATAAGAAGATGTTTGCATCCTAAGGAGTGAATAATAAGAGCTTTCTGAGGGTAAACTGAGTTCTGAGCCTGGGGGAGATTTTGACTTAGAGAAACTAAATGAATTTTGTCAAAGGCTTTCCTTAATAGCCAGTTAAGTTTTAACTTCAGGTATCACTCTAACAAATATTTAAAAATTTTATCTGAGTAAAGCTAATAATAATAAATTGGTGCATTTCAAAGGTAGGGGTGATGCTGTTAGCTCCCCTCTATAAGCTCCTAGAAGGGGCACAGTCCCAGACTCACACGATTGCATAGAAGAAGGGACCTCTAAGCAGTCTCTAGCAATGAGATACGTAGAAGTATTTTTGGACTCAAGACATTCCCCTACTCTCCCTTTCTAAGCGATAAGGAGATAAATGGCTCTTTCTATATGCAGAGAGGCCTAGACTCAATCCAATGCCAGAGTCTGAGCTCCAGGCCCAAGCCCCCCTCCCCCCAGCTTCACTGTGCAGCTGGGCAAACAGGCAGCGTGGGCCTTGTCCCGCTTGGCCAAGCCTCTTCCATCCATTCTCTTAGAATAGCTGCTACGGACTTCCTCAGGCAGGATGGGAACTGGCTGAAGTCCCAAGCCTAAACTGAGAAAAGCCCCTACACCCTCAGCCAGGGACGGTGGGCTGGGCTGGGCCAGCGCGGTCCCACAGGGCCCTCTCAGGGCCTCCGGAGCCACGCCTATTTTAGTTGGCAAGTAATAGGGCTTCTGCCACTTCCTTCTGCTCCCCCAGTCCTCACAGACCTCTTCTTTACTGAGAAATTTCCCTGACTTCCTGATCTAGCCCTGGGACTTCTCGCCTATAGTGTCCAAAGACCACTCAAGATAGCTCCTCTGATTGCTCCTGGGGAGCACAGGTGACACCAGGAGTGTCCCCCCTTTTCTAGCTCTTCCAGTGCTGTGCTTTACAAATAGGATTATGCTTCCCCCCAAATTCCAGGGAGAAACTATGAAAAAGGATAGCATTTCTTTCTTTTTAAATTTTATTTTACTATTTTTTTCCACCACCATTGATCCCTCCTATACCTTCTTCTACCTCCACCCCCCCCTCCCCGCCCAGTCACCACACTGTTGTGTGTGTCCATGAGTTCTCTTGCTCCTAGCATTTTCTTAATTAAAATATTTTACCAGAAAGTTTTGGAAAACCTTGGGGAGCCTTTTCCTGTTTGCATCCTAAGGAGCCAATAAAAGAAAAGTAAATGAATAACAAATAAGTTTAATTAGAAAAACCTGAAAGCCTGATTTCTTAAAATTATTTTAGGTATAGCTTTTCAGGTATGGACACATACGTTTATTTAATAAAACTACCTTCTCTATTGATGAAGTTTTAATTTTTGTGATGCAATTAGTGGTGCCAGTATTTTCTGATTTATTGCAAAGAACACCATGTTTTCCTGGCTGATGAAACTTGGATAAATCACCAATGGGGTGTGGAGGGCAGTTCAAGACTTAGCTCTAAGGTTTTCTATTTCTATCTTCTGCCCAAGTCTCCTAATGCCCTGGGATGACAAGCTACCTAATTTATCCCACTCTAAGTTGGAAGCTACACACACTATTAAGCTCAACCAGAGGCTGTGTTCTTTCCACAATCCTTACCGGTGGCCTTTACCTAGGTCTACTGGCCTCCTCTGGGACAGAGGGACATAGACTGGAGTCGGGGGTGGGGCCTTAACTAAGTTAGCTGCTTGGGGCAGTTCTACTGGATTCCCAAGAACAGTGTCCGAGTAAGAGGCTAAGGAAACCAGTAGGCCTGTTCACCAGCACAGCGCTCTAGTAAGGTGGTCGCTGATGAGTCTCTCCACTGCAAAGTTACTATTTTTACCTTTGTAATTAATATATTTCTTGTGAAAGATACTTTGAAACTATGCAACTAGCCCGTTTCTCCTCAAACTTCGGTGGTTCTTGCCTGCAACAATATTTACTGTGGTGTTTGACCACTTCTCTCATTTCTCTGTAGTTATTAACTGGAATTTTTTGGTAAGAAAAAGAGCTGTCCCTTCCCCTCCATTTATTTATATCAGTATGATCTCATGGATGTTTATTTTCTGTCACGGGTTATAATCTCATACAATCATTATTTATCTTGCTCAGACTGTTCCAGCTCAGGCTATTAGGGACTCCTGCAGATGGGCTTGCCTGTGTATTTTTGACCTGCCCCGTCCCTCTTTGAATGCTTCCTTACTTTCGGGCACTATAGATGTTCCAAGCTCATCTTGTCTTCCCAGTCCCTGCTCTGGAATCTGTCACTTCTCCAAGGAGCTCAGGTTCCTTTAATTGGAGAATGGTTTTTAGAAACCAAGAACTGGGAACTTAGCATGCTCATTTCTACTGGGTATTATTGCTTTTAGGCCCTCTCAGTGGACAGAGATAAGAAACACATGTGTTTGCTGACTTGCACATACAAACACATCTATGTTTTTACATGTAAATCAATAAATATGCACAAGTTAATAATATGCACATGCTGTCTCTATTTGCACGTGCATATTAAAATCACGAGTTCATACGTGATGCCTCTGATTTCAGTCTAACACCATGAGGTTCATTCTAGCCTTCCATCTTCCCATCTTCCCTAATTTATTACTCTTTTTCCCTCTGACAGCAAAAAGCTTGGCTCTCATTATAATACAGTGGTACCTCGATTTTCAAATGTAATCCGCTCTGGAAGACTGTTCAAGTTCTGAAATGTTTGAAAACTGAGGGATCCACAGCCGACAGCTAGGCCTCAGGATCTTGCATTCAGCAGAAGCCGTGCAGCATGTTTGAAAACCAAAGCATTTACTTCAAGGTTTACGGCGTTTGTAAACCAAAATATTCGTCAACGGAGACATTTGAAAACTGAGGTTCCACTGTATATTTCACTTACAGTTGACCCTTGAACAACATGGGTTTGAATTGCTTGGGTCCACTTACACACAGGATTTTTCCCCCATAAAAACCTGTACTGCTTTCAGTCCACAGTCAGGAGTTGGTAAATGTGGAAGGCTGACTGTATGCGCTGCTTACGGCATTTCATACAGGGGACTTGAGCATCAGTGGATTTTGGTACCCACTGGGCGTCCCGTGGGTACCAAGGAACAATGAAGTTTTGGGAGAATCAAAGGTTATACATGGATTTTCAACTGTATGGGGGGGTCGGCACCCCTAACCCCAGCATTGTTCAAGGGTCAATTGTATTTGTTCAGTCCTAGCACAAAGCAGTTTCAGAATTGCTAATCCATACCCCTGTAAGAAACAAATTTACTAACTAGAGTACAGGATATGTGTGGTCTTTTTATCTTTGGCTCTCCAGTCAAAAAACATTGGTTTTTAAATTACTTGGGTGAGTTCTTTTCTTCCTCACCTCCTTCAGTGTGGGATATTTTTCTTTCATAATTCAGTTAGATTTATTTTTCGTTGCTTGTGCTCCATTTTGGACCCCCCTCCCCCATTCTAGTTCACTTTAATGATTTACTTACTTTGGGGAATAAGTCAGAGCTGTATAAAAAATATACTCAGAAGTATTACTCCCTCCTCATTCCAACTAACCTGTTCCATTTTCCCCAGTCCTTTCTGCAGCTCTCTTATTTCACTTCTCGCAGGTAACCGATTAGTCTCTGCTTTAGCCTTTTGTTTCTTTTGCACACATGAGAAGACACACGTGCATTTCCCTGTGCCCTCTTCTTTCTCCCCTGAAGGGGAGCACACTCTGGTTACTCTTGCACTTCGCTTTTTTCACTTAACGGTGTATCTCAGACCTCACTCCCCAGATGCTAATTGCTCATTAATGATCCTATTTTTTTTATTTATTCATACAAATGGCTCTTTGTATAAACCAGACAAGTCATTTTCAAGGCACAGACAAGACATTATGTTTTGGGGCATTTTATCATTAAGCTGGTGGAACAGGAAAATATTAGATATTTAGAGAGTAGGACACATGGAGAAATGTTAGGGCCACTTTAATCAGTGACTCAACCAGTCACTAATGATGCTTTGGCCTCAAGTAGAATTATTTGTTCACGGTATTTAGAACAGGAGAACCAAACTAACACAGCAGTTGATGTGACACCTTATCAACTACACAGGTTAATAAAAATAGTAAATTATGTGATTATTGGTTATTATACAAAAATGTGTAGAAGTGGGAAAGGATAGGACAAGGAAAGACATTTGAACCAGGTTATACTAAGCAAACTGCTATGACGGAATCTTTTTCTTTTTTTTTTTTGCTTCTATAACTTTTAT